AATCGATGTATACTTTGTGTCAGGATCGCTTGGAATCTAGCGTTCTAGCAGTATTGAGAATATGTTGATGCTTCCTTTTCAATTCTTCTATTTTGTTGCGGCATCTCCACACAAGAGGTTTGATGCAAAATCCCTTTTCTCAGTATAAAATTTCATCATCTTATATTCTTTACCATTGTCACTCCTGATCACTTTCACCTTCCTATCAAATTGAGTTTCAATAAATGCATAAAAATGTTATAAGTGCATGTTCATCTTAACCTTGCTTTTTCATCAAATATACCCAAGTACATCTATTATGATAATTAAGAATTGATAGAAAATACTGATAATCATCATAAGACGTCTCATTGCAAGGTCCTCAAATATTATAGTGAATTAAATCAAAACATTTTAAAGCTCTACTGCTACTATTATTAAATACAAGTTTATGCATCTTAACCAGTGGGCAAACATAACATAGCTTACAATTATCTGTTTTGGATACATTTTGATTTTATAATTGACTTGGACTATGAAGGGTGTCCAAGTCTGTAGTGTTATATATCAATTTCTTGCATTTTTTTAGGACCTAAAAGGCTTGCAACTGTGAAGGCTAGTCTGGTTGTTTCTCTTAATGGTATGGTGGAATTAAGCTGATACAATCAATCCCTAATTTTCCCCACTCCAATCATTTTCCAAGTTATAAGGTCCTATATAACACACTGTGTTTGTGAAAAGATTAAACAACACTTACAATCTTGTAATAACCTTATTGCAGAAATTAAATTAAAATTAAACGATGGCACACATAACATATTGTTGAGAACTATGTCCTTGCCCAACTTAACTATTCTAGTGTGCGACACATCGACTCTTAGACCATTAAGCAAAGCAACATTGGAAATGATATTTGATGAAATTTTAATATATAATTCTAGTGTGTGAATAATGCGATCAGATGCACCACTGTTAATTATCCAAGGAACAAGCATATTCTCACATGTCTCACTAGAAGATACTTGATTGAAGGCATTTTGTTCGGCATGCCTCTGTTCGAGCTCAGCCCAAAGATTACATTCAGTTTTTGCATAAATGTGTTGGCCTTAATGTCGGAGGCAAGATTTGATGAATATAAAATCGTCCTAGTCAAAACAATGGGATTTTAGTTTGTAGTTGAAATTGTTTCGGTTAAAACCATGGGGTCTTTATTTGTGGTTCTCATGTATGAATGTAAGCTTTCTATTTCTATCATTTGCTCTATATGTACTTCCTTCTTTTTTAAAGATTTGCAACTATAATAAACCCAATAATTTCTTCAAATAGACACTCAAACCTCTTGATTCCCCCCTCCCCCCCCCCCCTTTTTTTTATAGATTCATACAATAAACCTCTTTTTTTTTTTTTTTTTTTTTTTTTTTTCGGGTTCAGACCAACCTGTTCTGTATGTGTTTGCTTCGGTTTTTTTTTAATCCAAATAACAAACTCGCTCTAAATGTGTCTGTTTCTCAGGTTTAGATCAACCGAAAGAGATCTTTTCTATTCCCCTCTTTTTTTTTTTGTTCGGGTTTACATCAATAAACCTGCTCTGATGCCATGTTATAAAGTGAACTTCTTCCTCAATGCACACAAGATCCTAGATTTTCTAACAACAATACATTATTTCGAGAAAATATGAGAAAATCAATGTACAATACCTTTACTTCCTTGAAGAAGATACTCATTGTTGTACCTTGATGTCCAAGTTGAATATCTACAAAATAGAGAGAAGAAAATACAAAAAACTAGAGCTTTTGGTGTTTGCATGAGAGGAAAAAGTCTGGAGAAGGAGAAAGAAAAAGAGGTATTTATACCCCTTTTTATGGTGAAGCAGCAGCCAAAATACACAGTTTAATGAAACGGTGTGTTTTGGTTCCCATATGGAAGCAGCCTAACAAAACATGGGCTGCACGCAGCCCATTTACAATGAGCTTTTTAACAAATATGATTAGAGGTTTCTAAGAATAACTGTGTCGTTTTGATGAGTTACAATTTAATTAGCATGTTATTTTTAGTTAATTTGGGTTTAAGACTTTTAGTTAACAATAGATATCAATGAAATAATAATTATCGTTTAATCACATGTCTCTACTTTTTATGCTTCACTTAATTTTAAATATGAATTATATATATCTAAACAAAGACCAACAAGAAGAGAAGTTGTCTCTTCTACACGGGGTATTGGGCCCCACTAGTGAACCAAACCTGACCATTGAGTTCAAATCTTCAGATTCTCTCTCCCATTTACCTAAATCATTACAGTCTTTAGATATATATACATGTACTAAAAATGGGGAAATGGTCATAATAAATATGTGTCTGACTGACAGACGTAGGTCTGAAAATCGCAAACTGCTCTCTTTTTGTATAAAAATATCTTTTAAGTATAAAATGTTTGAATTTATTTGTATAAAAATAAATTTTTAAAATATCTTTAAAAATAAGATAAAATATATAAAAAATAATTTTAATTTTACTTACTAATAAATTTAATGGTTTGAAGTTAGTAGCACAACTAATAAATTAATTATTAGATATATATAATTAATTTACCACAAAATATTTTACTAAAAACCATTTCTCCTAATCGCCATCATCGCTCTAGAGCCACTCTTGCCACGCTTTTTGTCTTCATATTATAAGAGTAGAAATCAAAGTCCGAGAGCAAGAGCAAGCTACTCACTAGAGTTTACGAGCCTTGTAACAGGCTACAAGGGCCTTTATTATTTTATTTTAATATTTATAAATTTATTTTATAAAATTTAGGAATCATTTTTAATTTTTTATTAATTAAATAAAAATATTACGTAAAATATTGTGAATTTGTTGTATATGAAAATAAATTTTGAAATAATCTTTAAAATTTATTATTAAAAATAAGATTTACATAAGTAATTAGAAGGGTAGTTCAAATAGTTTGATTATATCCCTGTTCAAACCAATTAAAAAAAGATAAAAGAATTATAATATATAATAGTAATATTAAAAATAATTACTAGCCCTAGTCTCTATAAGTCATTGTCTTCACCCACCGAATTTACAGTCCGTCTTCTCATCTTTTCTTCCTTTCTTCGTCCTCGACTGACTGCCTCTTCTTCCTCTCTTTTTCATCTCTGTTTGCTCCCTGCAAGGCGCTACCTTCTTCTGACTATAAATCTTTAATACATAATCATGTTCTGTAGTTAGTTGTTGCTACCATTGTTCCGGTAGTAAGCAAAGCAAAAAAAACTGAGCAAGTCACAGAAATAGTTTTTCTCTAGAGAGATGAGGTTACTTATTTATAATATGCTATCGTCCAACATCAAAGGAGTAACCTGCAGGTTATCTCTCTATATCAAAGTGGAACAAGTTGTAGAAAAAAAAAATTGATTTCAATGCCGGTTTTCTCAGGAACATGTTTCCCAAAATCGATTGGAAGACACTAGTTGGAGCGGAGCGAAATATGGGTTATCGGGAACTTTCGGAGGAGGCACTCGAGTCTTCAGAGCTCGAATCATACAAACTCTTGAGGAAGTTTCATCATGCACTTCTGGAGCTCCACCTGGAGGAGGGTGCTATGGTTTATCCCGAAACTAGAAGGAAATTTTCTATAAGTAAGGGGATTCCTAATATGATTCTTCATGAAGACGAGGTTTTAGGAAGATTGTTACCCAGTTTTCTTGTTGGGTTCAATGATAACTAGGGTTGTGATTTAAATACCGTGAGTTAATATGTAATGAGATGATTTGATATCGACTGAAGTATTTTCTCCTTCAATTGCTTACTTTACTTTCATTATCATTTCAATCTATGGAGTGGTATGAAGCTTTTAACTGCTTAATCCCTTTGTATTTCGCCCTATAATTAATTCGCATAATTTTTAATATTTATATATAATTTTCCCCTATAAATAGAAGAAAGCTTGTAGTGGCGGCGCATATTTGCTTAACTGCTTCAAGTTTCGGGCTCGAATCCAAGTTTGATTCGAGCGGCCAGCATGGGCCCAATTGGCCTGTGCTGGATTTTGAGCAACTGGTTCAAGCCTGAGGTCGAAGGAAGAGGAAGAAAAAAAGTTAGAATTTTTCTTTTGATGGGCTTCGAGCCGTGGGTTAAGGTCCGCATCCAGGCGGGCCCAAGGACAGACGGGCTTGACTTGACCCAGTCAACCACTAAACATTGACTTTCTTGGGATCTTTTTTTTTTTTTTTTTTTTTTAATAATTTGCGATGTTTTTTCTCTTCTATTTCTCATGTTCTTTATTATTCGGACCAAAAAATCACTTACACCAATATGAAATAGTAGGTTGTGCTGATATATTAGAGGGATGGACAAGCATGAAATTTTAATTATTAACTACTAAAAATCACATATGATAACATGATTCCACGAGAAAAATGAATATTGTAAATATTTATATTGGTGTAGGTGATTTTTTAATTTACAATAAATTAATTTAATTGGGTATTGAAAAAAAAATAATAATTAATGACTTGTATTTAATGACTAGGTATTAGTTTATTGAAAAGAGTTCTAAGTACATATAGATATAAATTATTGATATCTTAAAAAAAAAAAAAAAAACACATCCAACACTCAAAATAAAGTAAGTACATTCCAGCTGTTTTTAATGTGATTAGAATTTTCTAAGAGTAAGTATGTCGTTTTGATGAATTACAGTTTAATTAGTATGTTATTTTTAATTAATTGGGGTTTAGGACTTCAATTAACAATAGACAATAATAAAATAATAATTATTGTTTAATGACATGTCTCTACTTTTTAATGCTTCACTTAATTTTAAATATAAAAAATATATATATATATATATACATAAAAGGACCAATCGCATGGCGTATTGGGCCCCATTAGTGAACAAAATCTGACCATTGAGTTCAAATTTCGAAATCGGAACCACGAGAATCAACACTTCCCACCTTTCGCACAAAGACAATCAAAAGAAAAAGAGCAAGATCCAAACAAATTATAAAAAATATAAAAAATAAATATGACTAAAATTAAACTTATTTTAACAAAAAAAAAGTTTAAAGAACAAACTTCACACTAATTAACCTCTTTGTAATTTTTTTGATGAATTATATGAAAAAAAAATCTGATTTATATACTTAAAATAGCAGGTTGTGTATGTTTTTCTTTTTTTTTTTTTTTTTTTTTTTTTTGAAATTACCCACTTGCATTAACTTGAAAGGTATACAGCAATGCCTAGGATTATAATCTCCCAAACAAGGAAAAATTGGATACAAGTGTGCTGCTTTTGCTAAAGCATGGGCCATCCTATTACAATGCCTTCTTGCCCCACTTAATTGATATGTTCGGTCTCGTTGCCAGCAAGGATATGCAGTCGGCAACAATTAAGGCGTATTCTGATCCATCTTCCTCCCAAGCTGTGAGAGCGTTGTAAACTTGCTGAGCGTCAATCTCCACAGTGCCTGTTCCCCCAATTTGTGCAGTTATACATTATAGTGCCCCTTTCCAACCAAACAGTTCCGCTTGTGAATGCCGAACGGCTGCCCTTCATGCGACTCGTGAATGCAACAGCAACTTCCCCCTCTGAATCACGGACGATTCCACCATACCCAGTCTCGGACACAGTCTTTGGAACACTACTGTCAAGGTTGCACCTTCAGGAGCCCTCCTCTGGCGGTATCCAATGCTGGGGATCATTTGCACCTTCTTGCTGTTGTAAATACTCTCTGTTGCGGACAATCTGGCCTTGCTGCCATTTGCACCTCTTCATGGTACAACATTAAATTTCATGCAGGTCTGGTTAATTTGTTTCCTGAACTCCTCTCTCTCTCTCTCTCTCTCTCTCTCTCTGTGTCACGAGGACAATGCTTTTGACCCCTCTTGTTAGGAATTAAGGCTTCCAAGTCCAAGAGCAAGAGGGGTCAAATTAGATATTAAGGCTTTTTACAGGGACCTGAAAGTAAATTCATTATTATTTAAAAAGCCCTGGTCTTTGTATTCATATCATCGTCACCCACCAAAATCATCTTTTCCTTCATTTCTTCTTCCTTTCCTTTTCGTCTCCGTAGGCTCCCTGCTAGGTGCTGCCGCTCCCCTCATCTCCTGCCCCTTTTGGTTCCTCATTTGCTCTGCTCTGGTGCTCTCGGCTGTGCTGCATGCGACTGCGTGTGTATGTATATATATATATATATATATATATATATATAGAGTGTGTGTGTGTATATACAAATATTGAGTACTGGATTAAGAGAAATTGAACTCATTTGGGCTGATACTCGGTTCAAATATTTATTTAATTTCAGTTTCGAATTGCTCCGATCCGGTGTCGCAGCGTTGATGAGGCCTTTAGAATTTTTATATTACACTCATGAATATTTTCTGTTATTCATGATAGGTCTAATATACTTAATTAGTGTTTATCATGGTCATCTTCAACAACTTTTGGAGGGCTTTTGCTATTTCAGTTCATAGCATGTCACCTCATCCTCAACTGCCTTTTTTAGTTGAGAGCAGGATATCAAAAAACCAACAAGATGCAGAATTAGATAGAGAATTTGAGCTTGTTAATAAACCAGCAATCAAGATTATAAGGTTTATTTAATTTGATCAATATTTTATATTAAATAGCTTAACAATTTTTTTAATTTAAATTGACTTAAAATATTATTGTTATTTTTAAATATATGGAGACGCATATGGATGTGTAGATTTCTACAAACAACCTGCTTTTGATCATCCTTCTCTTAGAAATTATATGTACAATTTACAGGTTTTATATCTTTTCTTTTTTCTTTTCATTTTTTTATCGTCAATATTATGTATGTCCATATTATAATATTTATTTGATTTTTTTTTTTTTTTATCCTAAAGGGATAACAGGACAAGATTCTAATTAGTAGCTTTTGGATGTCCACGAGGTACAGTTCCTACAAGAAAAATTACCAAAAAGTAATTTATCAAAGTTAAAAATCTTACTCAGACATATGCTCCAAATGTAAATATGCTTACTTCTCTACGCCCCGGAAAACATGTGACTTGTTTTTTTAATACATAAAAGATACCTACTTTTTCATATTTAATGGAAGTTATATAAATTTTATTTTTAATTTTTTTATAACAGTATGCTGTTATCCAAACAAAAATTGATAAAAAAAAAGTATTATGGAGCTGAAATGTCTGCTGGTGCATATAATCTTACTGTTCGATCTTTCTAATTTACTTTAAGTCGAATTTACATTCAAAATAATGAAGAATACATAGGAGCCATTTGGACAATAAGTAAGCCACACCATCTTTTGGTTTTCTTTTTTTTTTTTTTTTTTTTTTTTTTTGTATGTTGGATTAAATTTCAAAGTAATTCCTCGATTGAACATAATTGATCAACCTTTTAAATGTATATAATAGTAACAAAAACATTTCTATTTCTTTCCTTTTGAAGTTATCTATGCATATACATCTTGTTATCTTAAATCAAACATAAATGGAAGGTTAGCATTGATTATTATTAAATTTTTTTCTATTTTATAGAGATATTTATTTTTTTAAAAAAAGATAAATCCACATCTTTATCATGATACTCGAGTTCGACTATTTACTTATATAAATGTAAGTTGAATTGTCCATCTTAATATGCATCAATTATTAAAAAGAAAAAAAAATTATTAAAATGTTTATTTTTGTCACTTCAGACAAGTGAATCTCAATGTTTTAATTCACTTTGTTCTGCGATAATACTGGTTCGAAAGGACATACCTCTTGATCTTCATCTTCCCAAAATTTCTAGACGTGGTTTAGAAACATGTACTTATAAATTCACAATTTACCGAGTAAAAATATGAATATATTAATTTAATAATTATATATAATTTGTTATTATTTTTTTAAATTGAGAAATTTTTTAATGTTAAATTAGGATGGTGTATCTGGAAATTAGTGGCTGGCGTATGCAAATGAGGAAATTGGATTTTGGCCATCACAAAGATTTTCATCCTCAAAGAATTTGGCTACTCACATGAGCTGGGGAGGAGAAGTATTTAGTCTACCTAACATACATTGCCCTCCAATGGAAAATGGTTACTTTTCGTGGGGCTCCAGTCCTCAAACAAATGCAATACGTTATAAAGTTAAAACTGTTAATGAAATTAATCACCTTGTTGATACTGTGGATTCAGAAGTGTATCAAGATAATAACCGAAGATATTATGTTATGGATCTAGGAATATCTAAAGAGCTTGGTCGTGCATTTTTCTATGGTGGTCCTGCAAAGCTAAAAGGAAACTAACCTTTCTTAAGACTACTTTATCATGTATTTATCTCTTCTCTCTTGAAATGAAACTTTAATTGTTGAATTGGGTAAATATTTTTTAGTATTTTCCTCCTATTTGATCATTAAATTTTCAATTGTTGTAATTAAGGAGTCAATTTATTAATTTTTTACAAAAATATTCAATTATCTTATATATCAAAATAAATAGTTAAATTAAGTATTAAACTACTTAGAAGAAATATTGCACTTATATTGACCAAAAGACCACTCCCCCAACTTAGACAAATAATCATAAATAAGTTTTACCAATGATTATCTATTTGTTATTTGGAATAAGTTTATTAAATTTTTTTTGTAGGAATATATGTACATATGTATATGCATTCAAAAAAATCGCGGGCTCACTTATGCAAAGTGAAAATGGAGGTAGAACAATTTCGAGTGAGTGGATA